ATGCACACATGGAATAAGCAGCAACACAAGTCGTCATATACACACGGACCAATTGCCTATTCAACAGCTCCACAGCCTGTTGTGGGGTCTTTGATAATTCATGGATGATTGCCTCGTCCGCATACAACTGGCAACAAACATTTTCACGGATGTTTGGTAGCTCGTTAATGAATAGACAAAATTGAATTGTTGTGGGCATACCACAAGGCCCCAGAATGGAGCCTTGTGGTATGCCCACATTACAGTTTTTGGGGGATGATATTGAACTATTTATTTTAACACATTGCTTTCAATATTTACAGATATGACTTCAACCAGCTGAGAGCTTGATGAGAGAAATTTAGCTTTTTATAATTATTTAAGAGTAAATTGTGGTTTACAGTATCAATTTTAGGTCTAGAAATACTGCTCCTACAACTTTATCGTCATCTATTTTAGATTATCTTTTTTTCGATTGGCCTGTAGTTACATGCTTTGTCGAGTTACCGAGATTTGAAAGTTGGGGTTATAACTCCTTGTTTTTAGGAAATTCGCCAGCATTCAACACATTCATTGACGCATTGACACATTGACAAAGAAGCGGGAGTGACTTGGGGTTAGGTGTCTTGCCCAAAGACACATCGGACATGTGGCTGCCGGTGCTGGGGATCGAACCCCAGAACTTTTTGTTTTGAGACGACCGACTCTACCAACTGAGCCTCAGCTGAGCAGCATTAGAGTTATTTAGTTGATTAATTACTTGTTGAATTTTGCCTTCATTAGTCTGTGATGAAAAATGAGTTCGGTGCAACATTTACTGAGATGTCTGACATAACTATTGGTTGGAAATCTGCTGCCAATTCCTCCACTAATGGGGTATAATACAAAGTAGGTATTAAGTGCATTTACAACTTCCATGCTCTTTGAGCTGATCTCCCTATTTACATTTATTTGAATTACACCTTTTCTCTGGTAAGCCTGTTGATTTGTCTCTGCAGATATGAGCTTTTAAAGTATGATGTCTTTGCTTTTCTCACTTCACTGACAACGTCATTTCGGATTCCTTTGAAAATAAAAATATCTGTTCACCGTTATGTAGAGATTGATTGTTAATAAAGCGAGGTCCCTCATCTTCATAAGATGACATTGTCAATCCATGGGAGAGATGGGAGCTTTTCTGCCATAATTTAGTGGCTTTGGGATTTTTTGTATTGTCTTTGTTAATGAGTCCATCAAAGAATCACAACGTTTATTCAAATCAGATGATTGAACAACTGATTCTCAGCTGTATAAAAAAAAATACAAACGTTTCTTGTGAAGTTTCCAGACGATTAGCGTCAAATTATGATCAGACAGGCCCGTCAATAAAAGAGAAGTTCTTGTCTTGTCTTGTTGGTAAAAATTAGATCTAAAAGTGTTTGTCTTTTTGTCATTTGATGCAACAACTGAGGGCAAGAAATAGACAAACACAATATATTAAAATAACGCATATAAAATCCTAAACCCTGACATTTTTGTAACAACAAGTTGGTGCTCATTAAACAACAGTTTGGGCTCATAACACACATATTTGAGTGAGTCAAGATTCAGGTGAAAATGAATTGTGAAGTTTTATACTGAGTACAAAATGCACTCTGTATCACTTCCCAGTTTAATCACAACTACACAAATCAAAGAGATGAACTCACCCAGAAGGAGTGTGAAAGCGAAGCAGCTCATCGTGACGGGGCCCACTCCACGAAATGCCCATCGCCAATGTTAGGGCTGCATATACGTGCAGGCACCGCAACCAAAAACTGTTTTTGCAGTGTGTTGCAATGCAAAGGTTGATGCAAACTCATTAACTTGTGATGGAGATGCTTCAGATAAACACATCTTCATGCCAAGACTGAAGGAGGGAACAGAGCTGCAGTAAAATGTACCACACATGGTAAGAATTCATAAGCCAGAAAGTTAACTCAAGGAAAAAAATCCAGCAAATACGTTAACACCAGCCATCTCCAGCAGAGTTTTACAAAATAAAACAAATAAAAAATAATATTTAGAGAGAGAGTGTGAGGCAATGAGGATTTATACAACTCCACCTGTGTGGTTTATTTTGAAAATATGAATCATTTCATGTGCATATTTAATGAAGAAGTTGTTATGATATCAGTGATTTATTGTTGTTGTCTGGGGATGCAGACACTGGGGGTAAAGTGGTCACCTCACAGCGAGGTTCCTGGTTTGAATCCCCGTCTGACAGGAGCCTCTCTCTGTGGAGTTTGCATGTTCTCCCCTGTGCATGTGTTGGTTCTCTTTGGGTACTCTGGCTTCCTCCCACAGTCCAAAGACATGCTCGTTAGGTTAACTGGTGACTCTAAATTGCCCGTAGGTGTGAATGTGTGTGTGGCTGGTTGTCTGTCTCTAAATGTCAGCCTGTGATTGCCTGTGCATGTGTTGGTTCTCTTTGGGTACTCTGGCTTCCTCCCACAGTCCAAAGACATGCTCGTTAGGTTAACTGGTGACTCTAAATTGCCCGTAGGTGTGAATGTGTGTGTGGCTGGTTGTCTGTCTCTAAATGTCAGCCCTGTGATTGGCTGGTGAACAGGGTGTACCCCGCCACTCTCCTAATGACAGCTGGGATCAGCTCCAGCCCCCAGCGACGGGAAAAGCGGTACAGATGATGGATGGATTGTTATCTGTTTCCAAAATGAGTCTTGAAATGGGGGAAAAGAGTTTCAGGTTTTCTGCAAAGAGTTTCAGGTTTTCTGCACTGCAGCCTGGATAGATGCTTTGAATAATGACTTTTCTGCTCTGTTACTCAGGACATGCCCTTGCAAAAAAAAAGATTCTTAATCTTAATGAGGTTCTCCTGGTTTAAAGGGCGAATGTGCGACTTTTGATCCAGTAGAAGGTCGCCCTTGAGCACCCGCATTGAACCAAAACAAACTTCTGTTTGACGACACCAAAGCTATTCTGAAGCCTCCGCTCTCCTCCAGCTGCACACCTTCAACCCACCTCCACTTGAGTTGAACGACGGAGTTATCAATTAGAACACTCCATAATTAAGCATCATTAAGCGCAAGTGGAGGACAAAATTGTCCTTTGCTCGAGCTGCAGTCACCTCAGGTCTGCATTGTTGTGTTAGCATGCTAATGTTAGCGCTCTTTAGTTTGCTCGTAGCTTCACATTGCACGTAAATTGACACAGAATGACCGTGATCTGAAACACTTATGTGACATCCAAAGAAGCAATAAGTATGTTCTTCTTCTTCTCTCTAGTCCTTGACTAAAACAGCTTTTATACACAAGGGTAGCCGGCCGTCCCGTCCATGTTAACACGGCTCTAACGACAAAACAGCCAGCGGGACTCGAGCTTCTCACTCATTGTAGACAGTCATGATAAATACATTTTAAATAATCATTCTGAACTCCTTCTTCTGGCCAAAAGTCACCATTTCTCAAAAGCTGTAAATGTCTTTTTAAATGGACTGAACAATTATGAATGTTTTAAATAATAGAAGTTAAAACAGTTTTCTTTGATGAATCACATGTGACAGTCTGTTAGCGCTCATGGTGATACAAAGACAGAAACGCCTCGAAGACGACAGATTGCATGTCTCACCTGTCAGGCTATTTGTCTTGTAAAACTGTAACATGGCACATCCAGTCTGTATGGAAATCACTTACAAATCCCTAAAACTACAAGTGGAGGGGGAAACAAACTTTCAGTATAGTTGCTCTTAGTAACTTAGTTGCAAAATAAATTCTTAGAGTTAGGATGTTTTCTAAGAATTTTCCCTTAAAGTTCAGACTAGATCCTGGTAAAGATGAAAGTTATTCACAAAGCTTCTTACTCCTTAAGAAAGCTAAGGTGTAAAACTGTGGAGGACTTTTAACAGGAAGTAGAGTTTCTCAAGCTGAGGAGAAAACCGAGAAATGTTCATCAAACACGACATAAAAAATAGACGTTCTTACTCTTATTTAAACCGAACAGACGACAATGATTTGTGCAGACATTTCAATCCATCTTTGATTTTTTCCAGTGCAGATTGAGACATGCATGTTGACTTTCTCTACATGTGGTTACCTCCACAGGTGAATCCAATCGCTGATTAAGGCTCTTTACATGCTGTTATAACGATCAGCAGAGAGGCTGCCTACATTTTGTAGGCTATGTACTTTTAAAGTATGTCTTCCAAATTATCACACATATTTTAATTTCAGAGTTCATGATTACATAATGTCTTTGATTGGCTAGATTCTATCTGTGACTTTTTTCTTTTTGGGTCAATCAATCACAGCTTCTGAAGAAATGTGTGTCACCTAGCAACTGGGTCGAGCCTGCCTCCTCACTAAGATAAAAGTTTCTGTCCATTTATTGCTCAGAGTCGCTCTGAGAATGTTCCTGATCTAAAAATCCTCGCTAGACTTTTTGAAAGTTAGGAGCTCTCAGAGAGGATTCTCAGGATGTTTGAGAATGAAACTTTACAGTTTATCCGTTTGGTTAAATAGTAAAGAGATGTTTTTCACTGAAACTAACGACTGCCTTGTGAAGATTTTAAAACAGGTGTGATGTGTGCTCTCCTTCTGGTCTTTGTCAGTATTCGTGTGTATCTTGGCTCCATTAGGAAAACTATTCTAATGTATATCATAGTAAGTTACTCCTCAGGTTACCAGTTTTTTTAATTAAGTACGGTGGCCCTGAAGGTCAACTGTGCAAATATTTCATGAAACACCAAAACATTTAAAAATACACATTTTTCAGGGACTGCAAAAATATATTTCACTTGCTGCAACAAAAAAAAAAAAGATACCTTCTGCAAAATATTTGGTACTGGTTTAGTTTTTATTCCATTTCATTTATATAATGTATGGATAATGCAATTTGTATTCAGTCACTGAATACATTTCTAAGTAATCTGGCCCAACCCCGCCGGTTTCCCCTAATCGCTGCAGTCGGAAATCACAGAATTAAGATTGTGTATTTTGCTTTCTTGTCTGGTGTTCACTCTTGCCAAAGAAGTGCTATTGCAAATATCAAAGTCAAAGTGTTTTATTGTCACTTTAACAAGGTTATATAGTGGTATAAAAGATATATACAATAATATACAATAAAAGAATATACAATAAAAGAATATACAATCAAAGAATATCAATCTTTCACTTCTGATTTGATATGGCTCTGCTCCACTGAGTATTTGAACAGACTGTTGTCCACCTCATGTTGAAAATATGGCAGCACATGTGGAGGCAACTTCCGCATTCTGCTCTCGACCATCTTGCAGTATATCGCGATTTCATCCGGTTCTTTCTTTGAGTCTAGACACTCTAAGGTTTTTCTGATTGTCCGCAGTAATATTTTAGACGACGCCTCACTGGCAGACTCGTCAGACGACTCCTCGCTGGCAGACTCGTAGGGCATCCTTCTGCTTCTCTTAGCCCGAGGCCTGGAGGGGGCCGACCTGGAGGTGCTCGTCAACGGCTTCGACTGAGAGTCTTCTCTGCAGACGGTGGACTCTGCCAGGGGAGCGCATGTCCCTGTCGTAGCGTCGCAGAAGCTGGGCTCCTTCAGAGGGGAGCTGGGATCCTCAAGAGGGGCGCAGGGATCTTCTAGGGGGGCGCAGGGATCATCTAGAGGGGCGCAGGGATCCTCAAGAGGGGCGCAGTGATCCTCAAGAGGAGCGCAGTGATCCTCTAGAGGGGCACTGGTCCCGTTCTCGTTGCAGGCGCCGTCAGAGGGCGAGTCAGAGTCAGCCAGTGAATGTTCCTTTTGGAAAAAAAAAAAAATCACAATGAGGGGAATTTAACACGATGGATTCTTCAAACTGTTCAGCAAGCAAAAGCAGAAGATTGCTATCGTTGGGTTAACCTGAAATTTGGGCCGGGGTGTGGTCAGGTGTCCAGTGTGAGTACATGCTTCCCTCACTGTTTAGACACTTTTAGATTATAAGTCTATGGCTGTGTTCAGATGCTAAAAACACACTTCACGAGTGAGAATGAAACCAAGTTAACCAATGAAAGGCTTCATGTGAACAGAGACAGAAACCCCCAACTGGACAATCAGCGGGCCACTCCTTGTAAATGAAAGAAGCAAGAAAACAACGTTTTATTTAACTCAGCAGAAAATGTAGTTAATTTACCCTGATGGCAAGATTTGACGCGGTCTCCTTCCTCTTTGTATGAGGCTCCAAAAACTGCAGCCGGGTCAGGATCCACTGCTGCCTGCCAGTCTTTTGGACTCCAGAAGTTCCAGGTGGAGGAAGTCTCTTGTAGCGGGTGTACTGGGTCCTCAGAGACTCCCACTTCTTCTTGAGCTCTTTCTCTGAGACACAAAGGCATTTTTTTGTTTTTTTTTCTTACCATTTTATTATTATTGTTTATGTTGTGAATTTCACTGTGGACTGATGTGATGCATACACAGAGACTACAGATGTAAACTATCTTAACTCTGATACAGCTAATAGTCTGCACAGTACACAATGTCCCTTTCAGTAGAAATACATAAATCATGTCTACATGCAGTGCCAACAACGTTTCCAGCTAAAGTGACTACAGTGAAAATCTAACCTGATATGATCATTTTATTTACGATCTCACTCCACAGTGCTATTTTAACCACTCGGTTGGAGTACAGTTTGTCCGTGAGGTCGAACAGAGGCGGTCTCTCCTGGATCATTGTGATCAGACGGCCCTCTGTTGCCTCTGTCCAGGCCGCCATGATGTTGTGATACTCAGATGAGACCGTCCGAGGGTACTTCTTCTCATGTGTGCCCTCTTGACTGTGGTCGTTTACTTGCCGTCGTCACTTCCGGTTTTCATTCTCGTGAATTGATTGGCTGAGCTGAACAGCCACTCAGAGTGATTCCTCTCACCAAACCGCTTGCAGAGTTTATTATTTTTATATATATATATATATAAAACAAAATTATACAAACTCTTAAAGAGGATGAACATACAACAGCAAAATACAGAGGAACAAGTTAATTCAAACTTAAATCAAGACTAGGGGGATTATATATAAAAATAAATGAATAAAAATCAAACTTTTCCAAAAGGAGCAAGGACAAAAGAATTCAACAAGGGCTAGAAATCAAAACAACAAGAATTTAGATGAGTCAGCACTAATCTTTCCAGCAATCCTGCTAGATTTCAAACTGTAATGCTAAACTGCTAATCTAAATCACAGAGTGGCCATAAGTTAGCTGACATAACACATTTTTTGTAATTGATTATAAGTGTTTGTTTTTTTGTTGCTGCTTGTTTTAATATGCTTTTAATCATTGGAAATGAGGGAAACCTCAATGTCCCTTGTTTCTACACCTTAATTTATACACTTCATTGTGGACAGAATATATTTATTTTTTTAAATACAGTTTTTCGGAGATTTTGTGATTGTCTTCAATATAATTGTTTGTCTTATTCATTTTCTGTCGATTATTTATTAAATATTGTTATTATTATTTATTATTATGTATTACTGCCGTGTTAGTTCGAGGTTTTAAGAGACACGTATTAAAAATGAGTTTCCACTACCACCTAGTGGCCAAAGTGTGGAACTGCAACACAAAAATTAAATCATCATTAGAGTTGTCATATTATTTTGAAAGTATTCACCGGAAAAGGCTGAGTATTTTATTTCCACTAGCTTGACTAGTTTTGGTCATTGTAGTTCAAACTGTGGCCACAGGAGGGCGCCAAAACCCCTAAAGAATTAACCGTAATACTAAACTGCTGATGTAAGTCACAGAGTGGTCCTGCATTACGTTAGAGTAATAAAATCGACCTTGGTAGACACATAACGAGATAATATCATTATGAACGACTGAAACGAAAACATATTTATAAATAAATAACAAATTGTTCGTTTTGAAAATGGTTCTGTTAATAATCCCTGTTGTTCTGCAGTCTTGTTGTCATAGACATTAACTAAAGTTGCACCCATGTAAACAAGCTAGATACAATTATATTTAATCACTATAGACAGAGGTGACGCCCATTGACCACTGGATAGCAGTTTTTTATTATAGTATAAATTGTTTTAAATGAATTAAGTAGCGTTGTTGATCACAGTAGAGTCAAGGCAGACAGAGTAGCAAAGTAATACTTCCGGTCAATGGTTTCCAAACAAAACTCAAGACTGAAACAAATATAAAACAAACGAACTGTTCATTACTTTGTCCCTTGCAGTTGGGCACAATTTTGCTAACTTAAAGGATAATACAACGAAAGAAGAGCCGCCATAACTTCGCAAATATTAAACAGAAATAAAGGAGCGTCGATGGCGACTAGGAACCATTCTCCTGGTGGTCCTATGTTTACTGTCGACTACATAAACAAGCGGGACAACGACGTTGGTTACGGTGTGTAGACGAGTGGACGCACCGGTAAATCAGATAGAAATGCTTAATTAAGTTTGTTGTTATCGTCTCCATGAGCTCGACTTCTGCATATTGTTCACGTCCCTTCATTTAAAGTTCATTTCCTGTTAAATTTTCAACTTTGAATGAAGGCGGTAAAGTCTCGACACGGCTAGCTAACGTGTTAGCATCTGCTGCTAACAGATTACGGATGTTTTGATACAAAGAAACCACGTTATCGAGATTTATGTTGAATTATAACAACCTTCACTCCACTTTACGGGCTTCTGATAAAGGATACACTTCCACTGATCACCAACAAATAGATAAATTACAGCTAGGGCTTCTCTGTCGTTTTTTATATCTTATTTAAGACATTTAACTTTTTGTTTACAGTTTACTATCCAGAAGCAGAGAAACCAACAACAATGACTTCCCTGGTAAGTTTTCTCTTTTGTGACTTTTAATCAGGGACCGTGCATCACATCACAATTTAATCAGGAAGCGATGACTGCTGGAGACATAGAGGGGACCAGGAAGCTTATCATTACCAGATTAGTAATTATAATAACTTCATTTGTAGAGCACATTTAAAAACATATGCGTTGACATAAACATCAACAGTCGGACTCTGCTGTTACTGTGGCCTTCCTGAAGTTAAGAAACATCTGTCCTTTTAGAACATTAAGTTAACATGTTGATTGTATTGTTTCTTGTATAACTATGTAGATGTTGATGTTGTCCAGTTTTAGCAGAAACATGAGTACGGTTTTATTTGTGCATCACTTCTTACAACACTGGAGATAGTTGTGATAATGATGTGTTTATTTGAATTGCATGTTTCTTCGTGGCCTTCATATTAAAACAGAACATTAAGCACTGAGACGACAACATCTCCATTAACTCCTCTGAATGTGTGTGTGTGTGTGTGTTTCAGGGGAGCAGCACTTCCTCGGGCACAGAATACACTGTGAGAGTCCCAAAGTGAGTACCATGGACTGACATGCAAATATTCAGGCTCGGTCCAAGCCCTGCGACTGATTCTCTGTGCGATAGAAGTGGACACAAAAAGGAAACACAGACATTTCCTGATAGTTTGTGTGCAAAGATGAAATGTTCCTGATAAGTAAAACAAAACTTTGAAATTGAGGAATGAATGAAACCTTTTTTAACCCTCTGGGAAATTTGCCTAAAAACACAACGTAAGAAAGTAAAAATGTCAACAACCACACAGGACAGCACATAGAAACATAGAACACATTTATTAAAGCACAGCATGAATACATGTAGGGATTGTTAATGTCTTTATTTCTGTGGTGTTTAAAGGAAAAAGCAGGTGCAGTGACTGACTTTTTATTTGCTCTTCTGTTTGTGTTGTAGAAACACCAGCAAGAAGTACAACATCATGGCCTTCAATTCAGGAGACAAAGTCAACTGTTCCGCCTGGACACAGGTGGGTTCAAGTCCGGGTGTCAACGCATGACTGACAGCACTTGTTTTCTTATAGGGCCTCGGATTCGCCCGATAGATCACTTTAAAGCGACCTATTTACCCCTTTATAGAAACATGGAGAGTAAGCAGTCATAATAACAATGCTTTAGTTTGAAGCGTCTTAACATCTCCTTCCTCCTTCTCTCAGGCTCGAATGGAAAGAGACATGAGCGCTCGGCGGATATACGGGGAAGAAGAGTCGCAGGACGGCGCGGCCGGCAGTGAGTTTGGTAAAAAACAGCGAGAGGAAGCACGGAGGAAGAAGTATGGTATCGTGACGCGTGAGTTCAAAGTGGAGGACCAGCCCTGGATCTTAAAGGTCAACGGGAAGGCAGGCAAGAGGTGAGACCCTGACGCTTCTTGACACCCTGACTGACTTATTTTCAACAATAAATGTACGATCTTCACATGACGGAATATCTGCGCTGTGACTGAAGCAGATGTTATAGATTTGTGTTTCTCTCCAGTTAAACAGATCAGGTGATGGATCCTCTTGTGTACAATAAAACTAAAGTACTCTCTCCTGTCTGTGTTTACGTTTGTGTCAGGTTCAAAGGTCAAAAGAAGGGTGGTGTTACAGAAAATGCATCCTACTACATCTTCACTCAGTGTCCCGATGGAGCATTTGAGGCATTTCCTGTCCACGGCTGGTACAACTTCACACCTCTGGCCAAGCACCGAACTCTCACTGCTGAGGAGGCCGAGGAGGAGTGGGGCAGGTGAGAGAGGGGGATGGGTGGGGGACGGGGGGGCAAAGAGGGAGGGTGGGTTGCTTTTATAGTGAACAAAAAAACCCCACTCAGTTCACCCATCTGGTGTTTATAAACCTCAAGCTCAATCTTCTCCTCTTACAGGCGGAACAAAGTAGTGAATCACTTCAGCATCATGCTTCAGAGACGATTCAGGGAGCAGGAGCGAGGGCCGGACGATGAAGACGAGGGAGAGAAGTCTGGGAAGAAGAAGAAGAAGGGCGGTGGGAGAGGGGGCGACCTGCGCATTCACGACCTGGAAGAAGACCTGGAGATGAGCAGCGACGACAGCGACAGCAGTATGGGAGACGGTAAGGAGAGAGAAACTGGTGGGACTAAAGAGAGAGAGGGGATAGTCCTCTGTAAGGAAAGAGTTGTTTTCTTCCCTCTGTCAGCAAGTTATCTTCTCCTTTTTCTTTTTTTTTTTTTGGACAGATGGAGAGAGCAAGGCGAAGGCGAAGAAAGACAAGGGGAAGGGAAAAGGAAAGAAGAAGAAGAAAAAGGGCGGCGAGCACGAGGCGTTAGAGGACAGCGATGACGGCGACTACGAGGGTCTGGAGGTGGATTACATGTCGGACGAAAGCAGGTCAGATCCATGTCATTGTTTCACAAGATGTCTGGTGTGGGAAAAAAAAAGTGTGTTTTTTTTGTTTTGTCTTTAACCAGAACGTTGTTTTGTTTTCCAAACACAGTTCAGACGAGGAGCCAGAGAAGGGACAGCCCAGCAAAGCAGAGGAGCATCCAAAAGGTAAACAACTACTACAGATTTATGAGTTATCTAATGAGAGTGTGTCCTCACACTGCCAACAATTCTCTTTCATTATAAGTTCCATTAGAAATAACATTAGATTGTATAAGCACTTTTTTTTATATATATATCTCTGTGCTTTATTGAACAAGTGGTCAAATGTTTGTCCTTGTTGTAGGCATCGACGAGGCGTCTGAAAGCGAGGAAGAGAGCGAGGAGGAGAAGCCGAACGAAGAGGAGACAAAAGAGGAGGAGGAAGAAGAGGAAGGGAAGAAAACTCCGGTGCAGGCGGAAAAGAAGAAGAAAAAAGGTGAAAACAGACGACAATCTAAGAAAAGTTCTTTAAGGAATCAGATCTCAAAAAACACGAGTAGTGTCATGTGTCTCCCCCTCCTGCTTCATTTGAGTTGTGTGGATTTTTATATCACAGACAGCAGCGGAGAGTCGGAGAGCTCAGACGACAGCGACATCGAGGGAGAGACGGCCTCTGCTTTGTTTATGGTACATAATGTGTCTTTCTAATATCAACAGAGAATGTGTGAAAGTGTTTGTCTTTGTTTTAACAAACATGTCTCTCTTTTTTTCCCCCTCTCAGAAGAAGCGCACGCCTCCTAAGCGTGGAGGTGGGCGTGGCTCTGCAGGAAGCTCCAGGACAGGAAGTCGCCCCGGCACGCCATCCATCGACTCTGCCGCCACCTCCAACACACTCCGCGCTGCTGCAAGCAAGCTGGAGCAAGGTGTTAGCCCGTACACCATAAAACAGTTTAGAAACACACCTTTAGAAAGTGACCCCTTTTATATAAGACAAATAAGAGATGTTTTTTATAAAGTAACACGTCTGTCTGAATGTCTCCGCCCCTCAGGTAAGAGACCGACTCCGGGTCCTGGCACGGACTCACCAGCTGCCAAAAGGCTGAAGATGGAGCCCAGCAGCCAGAGCCCCGCTCCTTCAGGGAAGAGTACACCTCAACCCCCGTCAGGGAAATCTACTCCTAGCTCAAGGTACTGAACTTCTTTACTGTTGTGCATGATAAATATGTCAGTTTAAAGTTTATTCAACCAGGAAAGCTTTTTTTTTTTTTTAAAGAGTGTCCTGGTGGCCACGACAGGCAGCGGCACATTTTAAGTTACAGACACAGGCATCGTCCACCCGATGCAGCCTCCTCCAACACCTACTTTCTACTTTTAAATGGTTTTAAATAGAGCAGCTCCCCCAGACCCAAATCCTCCTGCAGCACGAGCAGCGTACCTGGAAAACCTCTTTTCCCCATTTCTAGACGCTCTCCTTGGACAGAGAGAAAGAAGAAGCTTTGCCTAACGGGTCACAGATCGGAAAACTGTAGCTTCCAACATTTTTCCAGTGAATAAAATGAAACAAGAGCGAGGGAAGGAAAGTTAAGGAATGCTCTTTAAATAAAAACATGCCATGGATTTAGTCAATGCAGGCCGGCCAAGTCGAGCATACAAAGTACAATGAGGAGTTAGAGCCTTAATATTTGTTATTCATAAACCTCAATTCTGCATGGTGTTACACAGTATCCAGAGAGTGGAGCCACATGCATGTATCAAACATCTCTGTAGTCAATCAGGAGACTAAAAGTATCAGTAACAAGTCTCTCTTTTGGGGGCATCAAGAGAAAACTATGATGTAATCCTTAAACAAATCGCAAAGATATGTGTTTGAAATCCTAAGAAGAAACCGCCTGACTGGCTGTTTGTGAACAGGATTACATATTGTCTTCTGTGTCCCTCTGCTCTGTAGTGATGTGCAGCTGACAGAGGAAGCGGTCCGGCGCTACCTGATCCGTAAACCGATGACCACCAAAGACCTGCTGAAGAAGTTCCAGACGAAGCGCACAGGTTTGAGCAGTGAGCAGACCGTCAACGTGCTGGCACAGATCCTGAAGCGCCTCAATCCAGAGCGCAAGAACGTGAACGACAAAATGCACTTTTACCTCACAGAGTAACAGAACAACAAGAGGCGGGGATGGAGCGACAAGGTGACACATTTGTGGGTGTTTTTGGCAAACTCTGACCCCCTGGGGAAGAGGTTTAGGTTACGTTATTTTTGTGAGATGCCACAGGACTGAGGTTAAAACTGTCTGCACAGTAAAAAAAGGATTGTGTTTAGTATCGGGAGCTTGTTTATTAGAGTCTGAGATCTGCTCAGAGTCTGTGTGGTTTCTCTCCATGTGTGAACACTTCAACTTAGAGCTGGATAAATAAAAAACAATTGTTTTTCTTTGGTAGTAACTTTTCTAATAAAGACTGAAATCCATAGCAGTGTTAAACTTTTCTCTTTGTATCCAATCTGTCTCATAAAATCAGTAAGATGTGTAGAGAGTGAAATGATAAAGTGAGCTTACTATCTGATCAGACATTAAGGAAACATGCTGTTGAAGTGCTGGCTTCTCTGACAACAATGCAGCAGCCAGTATGTCCTCCTTCTAACTTTAGATTCTGCTCCTGAATGCTCTGGATTTGTTTGGACCAGAGAAGGTAGGTGCTTTTAAGGCACCCCACCACACGGCCGTTTTGGACGCCCCTCGGTTTGCCAGATATGAGAGCAGTTATCAGGTCAACAGGTGTTGCAGCGATGGAAGCGGGCAAGAGAAGTGGTTCAGATAGAAGTGATTGTACCCGACCTAAAAAGCCTCTGCATGTTTCTAATAAACTCCACGAGCAGAAACGTGCTCAAACTAGGATCAATATTGGAGATGCTTTTGAAAAATGGAAAGAGGTTAGAACACAGAGCTGGATAAACACTGAAGCTACAGTGTCCACCACATGGTGACCTGAGTGAGCAGCCACTCTAGAGAGGAGGGGGGGAGACGGCTCTCTACAATGTTTAGAATTTGGACTGCAATACCCATGTTAAACACTAGAGGTCAGTTACATATTGTATATTGTATTGTATTGTATATTAATTGGCAAATGATAATACAAACACTTTAGTGTTTAAATAAATCATTTAATAAAAGTGTAGCACTCTGAACACAGCTTTAAAAAGTACAGCATTGTCTCAACTTTAATTATTTCAAAAACACTACAGTAAAATCTGCTGAATATTCTCAGGGGTACAGCCAGGGACACGAGGAACAAGAATCCATTGAACGTTACTTGTCACCTCTCACAGATTCTTTAAAAAAAAAAAAAAAAAAAAACTAAAATATTGCATCGTTTTAAGTTACAAACCAGCACCATATTGTCAAACAATACCACCCCAGAACTAAAATAAGTCCACGTTTGCAGCTCAGTGTTTGGTCTCTTCATGTCCGGGCTTTGTCATAGTTGGTTATAAACCAGTCACAGGTCATCTTTATCGCTGGAACGACAGAAAGAAAGTAATCAAATCACTTTTAACCAGACTGAGGATGCATGCAAATATTCATTCAAATCTCTCGCTTGTAGGTTGAGCAGCACAGAGCTGTCTTTCACTGAGCCTTTATTTTAGCTTCTCACACTTCTCTTAGGAAAAGATGTCAGCAAAAGAAAACCGTTTTAAAACTCCAGCCACTCATACAGGCTTCAAAGTGACCTGTCTTTTTTCTACCTTCTTTCAGAGGGGTAAAGGTGAAGTCAGGGCGGTAGCTTCTCAGCTTGGCATTGCTGGCTGTCTTCTTCATCTGGCCGTCTGACATGGTGGTGTCATACTGGTGTTACGAGTCAAGGACAGTGTGTAATTTAAGGTAATACACCTATACAGCAACAACTATTTCTCTGGAAGATGAAGCCTCCCTGACAGTGGTGATAACACTTACTGCTGCAGAAGCGGCACATAACCATAACAAATTCTAAATTCAGTGTCTTGACTTCAGGCCAGGCAGCTTTAGTTCATCTAAAATAAAGTAGTGTACAAGGTTCAAAGAAGCCTCTGAGGAGTTAAAGAGATACATTAACTAGGGCCAATATCGATATTAGGAAGAGAAAAAATCTGATACAGCTAAATATCTGCCGATATCTATCTTTGATCTATGTTCAATCTTTAGAGATATATATTTAGTAGTAGTTCTTTGCCGTCTGCTTGGTGTGTCAGTATCAGCTGATATTATCGGCAGACTGATTAATCAGTCGGGCTCTAGCGTTACATTGCTGGGACTAGATCGTCAACATCGAATGCAGCAAGGATACGTTCATTTGGCCTTCAAAATTCAAAGCCTCTGCAATCATGTCCACCGCCTCTTTAATGGAGACCTCATCGTCTTCACCGACTGAAAAAGAAACAAACAGTTAATGCGTGAGTTTTATGTTCGCAAAGCAATGTGTCTTAACCTTCGATCTTTTTCCTTTGGAGCGTCAGACGACAGTTTCTCCAAAGTGCATTAAGACGATCACCACCACGTGAAAGCGTCTCCGCGCTCACCAGACAGGATGATGGGGCTGATTTCTTCATATTCCCTCAGGGCCCAAATGATAAGGCGTCCCAAATCCTAAGAAATAGGCGATAAAGGAAGTTTGATAACGTAGGCTTTTCTTAGCCGACGCGTTGTGATATCATGATGTCATATCATTGCAGGTACCCTACCAGAGAATACACAAACTGTCTTCTAGGAGCTCCAGAGCCGCACACAGTCAGAGGAGTCCCTTCCTCTGAAAGAAAAAAGACTAAGTTTTAAGTGATATTATTCACACCTTGTAGCCTGTGCGAGCATCGAGCAGAAGTGCGTGTGCGTGTGCGTGTGCGTGTGCGTGTGCGTGTTATTCACTTTGGGCCGTGTATGTCTTGTTGATCAGCGCCGACAGCACATGACCGTTTTCTGTGTTGAAGTTGTCATAGGGACCGAACACGTTGGTGGGGATGACTGCTGTGTAATGATGACCATACTGCTGGAAGTAAGCCCTGTCAACACACACACACACACACACACACACAGGGGGAGAACTGGTTTTAAAAACAGGCTCGTCACGTATCAGCCAGTTATGGATGTTTTCTCAGTCACTAAAGCATGGATTTGAAGGCTAAAATAACAAAAGAAACGACTCGTCTAATCAGGTGTGGCCTCTGCAGACTTTTGTTCGACATGAATGTGATGGATTTGAACCGTGCCTCCACACCGCGCCTTTGTTTGCGTTGCGCAGCTGCTCACCTGTTTTGAACGTCGATCATCCTTTTAGCATGCGAGTATCCAAAGTTAGAGTCATGAGGGGGGCCGTCGTGGATCTGTGAGAGAGCGAGGAGTGAAAGTACAAAATACATTCAAATAATTAAGACAGATATGTGAGCCATACTTGGGTGGGGAGGGGGGCAAGAGTTCTGTGTGCTGCAGAGAGTCAGTGTATGGAGGAGAGAGGGGGTGAGGTGCTCTGGGTCCAGGTGAAGGGGGAAGGTAGGGTTCACTGTCAAACACATTTTAAAAGCTTACCATGGTCTCATTGATGGGATACGTGGTTTTGTCGGGGAAAATACAACTGGACAGACAGGACACCACCTTGGTGACCCCCGTCTCATGGGCTGTTTGAAGCACGTTGTCGTTGATCTTTAGGTTGTCCCTCTGTAAAAAGTGTCAGAGTGTTACTGCCCTGGCATCACATTTTAAAGACGACATTTTCCCCACAGACCCCCACCTAGTCATCAGGGTCCACATATGTTCCCCTAAATTGTATCATTGTCTCACCAGAAAGTGCAGGTTCTCCCTCATGTGCAGGTAGAGGCCTCCCACTTTTGCAGCCAGGTGGATGACGTGCGTGGGGCGATACTTCTCAAACACCGCTCTGGTCTGTCCAAGGTCTCTGTTTAGGATTTCACACAGGTGAAAAAGAACATTTTGTAACCTTAGGGTGCTTGTTAAAATTCCCCGGTGCTCAGTGGGTAAAGCTGTGTTTCCACAACAGGAACCTTTCCCCAGAGAGGAGAGACTCTTGGGCGTAATCGGTGCGCTTCCATCGTAGGGACCAGGATCCCCCGTTCAGGGTCGCGGGGGGGGGGGTGCTGGAGCTGATCCCAGCTGTAATTGGGCGAGAGGCGGGGTTACACCCTGGACTGATCGCTGGTCAATAACGGGGCTGACATATAGAGACAAACAACCAGCCGAGGTGACCAGTGACAATCATAACAACCTCTTATGTTCCCCTGAGCGAGGCTGTACATTCCTTAAACCAGTGAAGTCTTTTTGCAACGTGCAGAAAAGTGCAGTAGAAGACAAATTGGAGACTAACACATTCACTCCTAAATAAGGATGTTACGATTCACAAATTTTTACAAAATGAGACTGAAGACAAATGATGACTGAGAAAGAATCCTTTAGGGGCTCAAACCCGCTTGTCAGTGTGGTTTGGCCTTTTCATGTTTCTCTCAACAAGGGGAGGTGATTGGAGCTTCTCGTCATGGTGTGGATTAAATGCTGCATCATGTCGGTTGTGCTATTTGTGTAGTTCCCTATCTTCTTGTAATATTTGCACTCAGTTTTTAAAAGACGGCGGTGCGTCCTCGATTTCTAAATCTTGCTCTGCAGCGGCCAATCGCCTCTGCTCTACAGCTGCTGACGCTCGCCATATTACTGCGAGTCATTTTTCAGACTACCAATATGAAACTTGACGCCTTTGAATCGATTTATCGCGATTTTACGATTCGTCTTTACATCCCTACTACTAAATATATACAGTCAGTGTACAGGACAGGAGGAACTTACGTCAGATTTGCATCCTTGGAAGACAGAAAGATCCACTGTTCTCCCTCCAGTTTCCCTGCTTCCAGCGCCACCACATGCTCGATGGCTTTACCCAGCAAACCAGATCCACCAGTCACCAAAACACGCATGGGCCTTGCTTCCATATTTGACCCGGGCTTTGAACTCTCCTTTTCCAAGTGACACAAAGAAAACTAAACATGATAAATAAACATTAGCTCCTCACTGCATTCCTTTAAATACAGAAAACATCAGTCAACTGGATCCCCCCTGCTGCATTTAGGCTCCTATGAAATTTGTTGATTAGATCTACTATCTGCATATTGCCATTATTAAGGTTTTGAATAAAAGTATGATAAATTCTTCTTACCTGTGTGTTGAGTCAGACTTTACTGCAGAATTTCTCTTTTCTGAACTTATCTGTAGACTCTCTCGTCTGACAGTAACTCCAGGTACTGCTTGGGTTTGTTTCCCCTTCACTTTCAAAGTGATGAACAGGGTGAAGGTGTGGGAGGTGACTCCTCCTACCACCTGTCTCTACCTGAGGTGCTACCACCTGCTGGTCACAATCAGAAGCAGCCTTATTGGCCAGGTGTGCTCACACACACTCGGTGAACTGAGCTCTCTGTGTACTAAAGCGTAACATTAAATTTCAGGAACAGTTTGTATCCAGGGTGTGAGGAGTCTGACTCTGCAGTGATGTCACCAGCCTGTTTCCTGAACCTCGTCTGGTGGTATATCTCCTGGATGGAGGGCAAGGTTGGCACCGATGATTTTTTTCTGCAATCCTGATTGTCATACAGTCCACTTCACTTTTTCTCCTTGAACCTGACTTACTGTGTGTAAACATTTAAAAACAAAAAGTGGAAACTTCAGTTGAATTGGGACTCAAACAAATCAACTGAAGAACTTTTAAAAATGTGTAAAAGACATCAAAAGTGACTTAAATATGCCAGCCATACAATAGATCCAGCATGCCATTGTTAATAATCAATGGGGGGGCAGCTGATAGGGTTGCCTATTGCTACCCTCCCGCCAAGCTTGAACAACCCCCAGACCTGATGGGAGGGGATCTGTTTGTGCTGGTGCTTGGAGGTATTATCTGATTAATTTCTTTAAGGCATTTTATTTATTTATTTTTTTGTATTTGTATGTTTTTGTATTTGTTATTATTATCGTTGTCCTGAAGTCTATCCTTTTTTAACCTTAGTGTTTAAAGATGGATCACTGAGAGGATGGAGGCACCAGGAAGGGCATATTCAAAACAAAGGGAAAGAAGAAAACTATTGAGGAATGATAAAATAAAAAAGAACAAAAAAAAAAGTGGGTAATGGACCATATCAATTGTGTTCCAGTGTAGTGTGTTGTTGGGTTATGTATTGATGACAGTAATATAAATAGTGCAGATCATGTTGTAGTAATAATAATGTAATTTGTTTGTTTGACTATGATTTGCTAGTGCATCATTTTAATTCTCATTATCTTGCCTTCTTCACCCTCCGATAATCAGTGTTTCTGAAAATATGAAGTGATCTGATCCTCCTATGCAGCGTGTGACGGATGTTTTAGCATATTTATAACATGGACAAAGATTACAGAACTGTTTTCTCTGTGTTAAACCACAAAGAGAAAACAAGCCATCTTTAACACAAGAGAATCCCATTCCCTCAAAGAAACGTCTAACATTAGCCGTGCAGTATTATCATTATTATTAAAGCGAGGAGAGCCTTTTTACAGCCAAGTTTTTATTTGTAAATTATTCACAAAGAGTCTGTATTATACAGAAGTAGAGAGGCACGAAATAAATGTCAAAATCAAAGTGTTTGCAGCAGGCTCTATTGAAAATAGACTCTCTGCGCCTTTAATGGTGTATCCACATTTTCATAAACTGATATTTTATACATCAATATCTAACATTCCTGCTGTGATTCATAACTGAATGTATCTTTAATCGGCAGGAAAGATGATTCAGTGTTTGTGTAGAGTTGTGCAGAAACATGTTTACTTTAAATCAGCCGTTGCTTCTGCTCCACGGGAAACAGTTATTGGCTCATTCAGCGATCTTGATCTTGAGTGTAATACATACTTTGACAGATGTGAGCTGACAACACAACAGTGCAGTGTGAAGAGTATCTCAGTTTGACACTTGCATTAAATAGAATGAGGGTTAACTGCTTCATTTTTTTGAATAAAGATAACAGTCCTCAAAATTCAGGTTTTGTTCTGTCAGTGTTTCAATTTGAGTCCAAGCGGGAGTTAACCCGGGAGGTTCCGACAGATGACCGAGATACGGCGCAGACGGGGCACTCGCTGTCCACTGAACACAGAATCTTCCTCTTTCAGGATCTCATGAGTGAAGTTATATCTCGCCTCATCCCTGAATGGAAGTGAAAGGAACAGGACAATAAATAAATTACTGTTTGCTTAAAGGTCACATATTCTGTAATTCTGTAATCACTAATATGTGTCTCTAGTCTGTCTACAAACCCCCCAAATGATGAGAAAAGTCCATCCTCTCCGTCTTTTGCCTGCTCCACTTTTCAGAAAATGTGTGCTCAAACAGGCCGTTTGGAGATTTTCCCTTCATGACATCACAAAGGGCAGAAGCCCCTCCCCCAGGTGGGTGACACTCCCACAGCTAGGTGTTTGTTCTGCCCTCTGAGTCTGACTTCTCACCGTAAACAATAGGACACGGAGCGAGAAAGACCGAGCCACATCTCCTTCCAGAGAGGGGGCGTGGTCAGACACAGCTCATTTACATATTTAAAGGTACAGACACAGAAACAGCCTGTTCTGAGCCGAGCCGTTTCCTTGTGTATTGACATCCCTGCGTAGTCATAAGGATCTCACATACTTCCTGTTCAAACTAAACCTAATGATATTATTTGAGTAGAGTGCAGTAAATACTGAACCTCAGTATGTAGAGGGAGCGTCGCGGCAACAGCAGGTCCAACCATTCACTGCTGTTATCCTCCCTCACCAGGCGCATGATACTGTCAGACAGGAGACTCAACCCGGCGATGGTGCTACCACAGAACTGAAAACAAAAATGACAGCCAAATGATGAGAACAAACATCCTGAAGGTACTTTCTGTGGAGTGAGAAAAAAAAGAAAGACAGCTACCTTGACACTGTCTATGTGAGGCTTGATGAAGCCGTTCTTGTCCAGATCTAAAATGTGCACAGGCCCGAGGAGCTGACTACCCTCAGGAAAGGCGGAGGACCGGACACGGTTCAAGACCTCCTCACAGGCCGCACCCCACCTCGCTCTCTCCGTCTCTCGGTACCCGTGAATCGCCTGAATGTGGGGGAGTAAACACAGCACACATACCTAAGATGAGTGTCACTCTGCTCTAGCTGTGTTATTACTTCAGTGAAATTATAATAACTGATCGAAATGCAACCATCTGGGAAGAAAGAGTTTTGTGTTGCTTTTGTCCGTTGAACTGTGGCCTTAAAAGGATTTGTGAAAAATGTGAGCACATTTGCACACGGCTTTGAACAGTGCATCAACAGTTCAAGCTGTAACTGTACTTAGTCCTTAAAAAAAATCGCAAGTGCAAGTTATATCTGTGGTTATGTTGTCTAATTGTCGCCATAACAACAAAACAAAGTTACTACTGGAGGCGCACTTGTTGCTTTTCTTAATTGTTGCCAGAGTCTTTGAGAGAGGGCTTTCTTTCAAGCTCTCTGCTTGTTGCAAATTCGTACAACTAAAACTCAGTGTGACGTCATTCCCAGCTCCGAAATCCGACTTCCGAGGTAAATGGAAAGCACCACTAGTGATGGAAAGCAGCTCAGGGCTTCCGTAGTACTCTTCTGAATCTGAGGCTTCAGCTTTGCACAAAAACACAGAGGTAAAAAAAATGTCCTCAACAGTGACAACAGTGACATCATTTAACTTTTATAACACAGTCACTTTCATGAGGTTAGTTAAATCAGTACTTTAACTTTAACCTTCTACTTGAGTAACTCTTAATGCGTGTACCATCACTACCATGACTTACATCGTCCCAGTGGTCATATTCATAACGCTTCTTCTTCAGGCCAGGCTCCAGCTCCTGCAGAAAAGCCCCCTCCTCCTCCTCCGTGATGAAGCTCGTCCTCACCTCCACCTGCGAGCCGAGTCTCCGCACGAGCTCCTGGCTTGACCCGACGACCAGAGCGTCATCCCGGACAGGTGAGAGGCCGCTGCTGGGAGAGGAGCTCAGACTCCGGTTCCGGTGTCCGCCGTAAAGAGCCGGTTTCTGGGTTCGTCTCAACACCGTCAGCAGCAGTTTCATCCTCCTCTCTGTGACGTCAGTACCGACCTCGGTGCACTGTCCTTTTTTCCTTTAGCAACGGTTTGGTCTTGTTGACAAATGTCACACTGCGAGGTGAGACGCCATGTTGGACGCGCAATGCATTGTGGGAGGTGTAGTCTTCCGGGAGTAAACACACGCAAACGCAGAGAGGGGTTGATGTTGAGATCACGATTACTCATTGATTTCTACCTTCACCTGCATCACATGTATTTATCAAATAAACACTCGTAACTTAAACATGCTGATCACAAAAAACATGCAATACGTAAAAAACAATTGAGTAAAAAATATACAAAAAACAAACAAACAGATATCCTACCTAAATGATAAAAAACGGGAAAAAACAGACATAAATAAAATAAACAATATAAAGCAAAAGAAAGGACGCCAGGGGACAGAATAACAAAACGGGTACATTCACGTTCATAACAGAGTTTATATGAAAACCTTAAATTATGAGCACAAATTCAGTTTTAATACATTTTTATATAATAATAATAATAATAATAATATAATAGTAATTGTTTTAATGTGGTCTATAACTCCGTTTCTTTCTGAAAAGCAACATTTAGCAGGGATTTACTTTGGTTTACTTAGGTTTGAACCTAAGTTGGCAACAAATGACAGTGGTGGGAAAAAACAGTCGAGGACTTTTCTTCTTCTCTTGTCTAATAATGTAGAGGCCAGTATTTGTTTCACTCTCTTCTCCTCAACCACGAAAAGCTTATTTAGAGAAAGTTTCTTTCTTGCTCTCTCTCCATTTCTCGTTTATGACCTTACAGTCTATGTTTATGACACAACAAAGGTAAACATAAAATCTCGAGTGAATGCAGATGTTGTAGGTCTTCACTGTAACCACCAGAGGGCGGTAAAAACTCATTATTGCAAATACTCTCCAGGTCAACTGTCCACTTCTCCCTGTGCAGAAATCTGGTGAACACATATTCAAAGTAGAAAACATCAAGTTTTAATGAGTCCACTGCAGAGTGTGTCAATGCAGTTAATAAATAAAACACTCTTTAAGGCCTTTTTATTTTGCAGCGCTGATAATTTTAATGCACTACATGGTTCAGGACGTTTTTCACAACTGTCCTGATTAATGAGATAAATATATATCTTAAGTCATTGATAACTTAACTGCTCATTTTCAATTTTTTCTTAGTAACAGAAGACACAAAATAAGATAATAATTAATTGATCCCTGGAGGAGGAAATGCGGACGTTGCAGCAACACAAAGACAAGTAGCAAGTAGGTAGTACAAAATAAAAATTAAAAAAACAGAATACACAAGATAAACACGAATAAAATAAGAGGTTTAAATAAGTCAAGTCAAGTCACATTTATTTATAAAGAATATTTAAAAACATCAGCAGCTGAACAATGCATTAAAGAAACAGTGGTGGCAGTAGCTCGGTCTGTAGGGACTCGAGTTGGGAACCAGAGGGTCCCCGGTTCATTCCTGGTGCGGACCAAGTCTGGAAATTGGTCCTGTAGCTGGAGAGGGTGACAGTCATTTCCTGAGCGGGGGGCAGACCTGATATACAACTGGAATATAAAGGACTGACAGGAACTATACAGGACAAATACAGAACATATATTTTGGGTCTGATGGCTCCATGAACGAAAATTCAATTAATAAAAGATAAAAATGAAGTTGTGAAAAGAAAAAAAAAAATCCAAATAACAGAAATCAGAAGATGTATACAACAATCTGTGTTTTGTGGCCCGTACTGTAGTGAAAGTAGAGCGATGTGGAACTGAGAAATATTTGAAGGGTTGAAAATGAACGGGAGTATAAATAAAACAGAGAGCAGGAAGACAGTTATGAGAGCAGATGGAGAGATGATGACTTCACCCTCACTGAGATTCCCCCTGAAAACACAGTGGCCTATTTACCAGTAAGGACAGGTTAGCACCCTCTCTCTCTCTCTCCTCTCCTCTGTCTCTCTCTCTCACTCTCTCTCTCTCTCCTCTCCTCTCCTCTGTTCTGTTCTCAAACGAACCCTTCAGTTGTAAAACGGACTGAATACAAGGAGAGTGAGGCTTCCTTGATGACCTCTCTATGATGTGTCAGATAGAAGAGATGTGAAAAGTGTCAGCTCTTAAGGGAGCCAGGAGGAGGTCCAGATGGGGAAAGAAGATTTTTTGCAGAACCAGCGGTGTTACCCTTCTTAAGACTAGGTTAAAAATTCTAGCTCTTTAAAAATGCATTATGCTTATATCAGCAGGATGAAACTCAGGTAATGTACTTTTGTCTAGCCTGACTTATTTTGCCTTTGCCCATACGTACAGCGTGTACATCCACTGCGAGGGTTATTAGTGCTCCTTCTGTGAGCCGGCTGTTGGTCTCGGTCAGTGAGCATCCACAATAAAGCTAAGTCACACCACCCCCCTTCCTCCAACACAGACACACAACCGATGTGATGCCCACTTCATTGTTGATGCTATGTCGCTGCCTGCAGCATTACACTCATCCAGCCATGATGAGTGTTTTGGGTTCATATTCTAATTCCCAGTTGGTGTGCTCGTTTAAAGCTTCTACGATTCGCTGCATTATCGTCGGTCAGCTTGTCCTGAGGGCGTCCGTATGCCTTCTGTTGAATCATGCAATTAGGCTGAAAACAGCCAGAAAAACACTTGGCAGTGGTCGATTTTGGAGGAAACATGTGTGCAGCCTGTCTGCTGTTAATTTTCAGCAATAAGCACAAAGGAATCATTAGATGTCAGTGCATCACAATAATGTGAATATTGTAAAAAATCCAGCACTGGTCATGCACAGAGACAGCATTTTTTATTTTACCACAGAGAATAATAATGATTTTGTTCGAGAGCGCGGAGAAGGATGTGAGATGAAACACATTTTTAGACGATCTTAAACACAAAAGATTCCAGCTCATACCCTCGCCTTCTCTGTCTCCAGATTTGTTTCCTGTTTCTGTTCTGGTTGCTGATTTTAGGAATATATTAGGGAAGGTTTAAAGCATCCAGTATGACAGCACAGCTTCTAAAATGTTCTGTGTCCTCCTCGTTTTTTGCTCCGACTGTGATCATCTACTGTCTTTGCTTTTAGCTCATCACAATGTGTCTATAAAATCTCAAAAAGGTTTTCATAATTCTTAGAGCCCAAAGTGGTAAGTCACTAAAAAGCGTGTTTCTGTCAAACAAACAAAAGTAACATTATGGAGGAATTTGGTTTGGTGTGTTTTGGCGCCCACCGAAGGTCTCTTAGTGCAACTGCACTGTCGTAAAACACAATATAGTATACGACCAGCGGTCAAAGTTACATGAAAAACAGGCTACCAGGCAGCGCCATTGTCTCTGTTGAACATTATTGTTCTAATAGATCGACTTTGAAACGACCATTTTAAGGTGGAAAAATACAGATTGTCATTTTATTATTACAAAAAAACATAAATAGCAGCCCACGCTCAAGTTTAAGAACCAGAAAATGTACACTTTTGTGCTTGAAAAATGTCCCTAAGAATGTGTTTGTGATCATCAAATTTGTGATTTAAAAAAAATAAAAATTTAAATGAAGCACTGCAAGTCTTGTAGCCTGCTAGCCACAAACAATCTGTTTCAGTGGATCTTTGTTGGTAAGACACATTTGGAAGTCAAACTAAACTAAAATCAATGTCTGACCCAGTTTTCATGGCTGGACACTTAAATCTACACCTGCCTTGACTCTCAAACTCTAGAAAAATATAAATATGGATCTTAGGGCGGTGACAAAGTAGCATGTATGCTACATATTGTGCACTGATGGTTTTTTTTAAGTCATACACAATTTGTTTTGCACAGCCAGCCCGTCTCACAGACGTTTCCATGTAGTTCTGCATCGGGTCTGTGGAGGAGCGGGTTCAGCAGGGGCGGAGTGCTCTACATGCATCCGGCCATTGAATTATTCAGCCTTATGAATCATTGAGTCACGACACTCCTTTTTAGGCTCTCGCCTCACAGCTCCAGCCTCGCAGCCCACCCGCCATTTGAACATCTGACTGAGGAGGACAAACAGCCGAGAAACAATCCCGACTCTTTTCAACTCCAGAGATGAACTCGATGGTTTTCTAAACAGCATGGAAACTTCCAGAGGAGACTTTGTCATGTTTATCATATGTAGTGATGTATTAATGATTATAGCGGTATCTGACTTACTTTGCTTACAGCGTGGTTGCACATTATTCTCAGTCCATTTAGGATTGTTCATTTGAGCATCATCCCCCTTTTGACGAAGTCATTTAAAGTTTAATTACTTTCTCCATCCAGTTGGGCTGAGTCATTACCTCGATTTTAGAAACGAGGCTGTCATTGTTACTGCTTCTTCGTACAGTTCAGAATCCAAACAGAATGTAAACATTAACTGTAGAGATTTCTGATTTATACCCACACTCACATTTTGCAGAAATAAGCCGGAGCATCGCAGTACAACTTCAGGTTTGTTATCATGAAGAGGACAGCGAGGTGGAACACACTGTGGGGATGGTACTCAGATGGCATTCAGAGTCATAACACCATGTCAGAGACCAAACATGTTGTTCCACCTGCCTCCTCTTTGTCAGCTTTGTTCTGTTGTTCATTTTTTAATTCAAGCGTCAGTCATTTATTTTATTAGACTATCCCAGCTCAAAGAGCAGGCAGAGGGAAGCTGTTTCAGTCTTAGTCACAGAAACAGCAGCACAGAGATATCCTATCATGTTGCATTGTTTTTCTCAGCCAAATCCACCATAAATACATGTATCATCATCATCATCATCATGCATCTCTATGTCCTCTGTAGAGACGGTGTGTGTGTTCTTTTGAGGTAACAATGTTTTATGCATGCGTGGCCTTGATGCTGTTGCTCCTCGTGCGGCCCGTGTGGAGAAAAACAGGTTGGGACAGAAGTCTGCTTCTCCTCTAAGGCTCCAGCTCTGAGGGCCGATAGATCATTTCACAGATCATCACACGCGAGTGTAAACACACACACACACACACACACACACACACACACAGAGATATCAGTCTATGAGCAGAATTAAAGCCTTTAACTAAAGAAAGTTTCATGTGAGTTAGTTTGCTTTTGCATGTTTTAGTTCATACTGTACATAAGACACACTAGTGTTAGGATTTAAA